AGGATCCATGTCCGGGTAGCGTGTTATTCCTGTCTGCAAGGCGTCAGAAATCCTAGAACTCTGCAATAAGTCGACAGAAGGATGGCTCACCCAAATTAAACTTCACCAAGCCTTGGGCTCAATCCACCCAAACTCACCTCAGAGCTCATCTGTTGTCCAATGGCGCAGATGAACACCAGTTTGCCGACGAGCATGATGCCCCAGCCCAGTAACCAGGCTCCATCCGACTCGCGAAGGGGAATGTCCCCGTGCTCTCCCAGGTTTCCGGTGAGCACTAAAGTTATCAACAAGCCGCAGTACAGGAACACCACTCCCCGGATCAACGAGGTGGTGGTGGTGATCACGTTGAACCCCCCGTACAGCCAGTTAGTGGCGAGCACGACGTCTTGCACGCATTGGTAGCGTACCCGGAGCGCGCGCAGGCCGAGTGCCAGGACGCGTGCGTCGCTCTGCTCGCCGCCGAGCTCGTCTCGTGCACGGACTCTGTCGGTGACTGCGATGACGCTCCCGGTGACCCACCCAGTGACCCTTCCGGGGACCCGGCGGTGCGCGGGTCTTATCCGCGCCCCAAGGCGCAGGAGCGCGTCGACGTGCTCCTGCACCCCGTCCGCGATTGCCGCCAAAAAGTCCACGTTGGCAGATACGATGTGCGCAAACGTATCCTGGATCGTGCTGGCGAGCATGGTTGGCATTAGGGCGGAGAGGACCAAGCGTACACCATGCCAGCTCGTCAAATACACATCCTTTAGGACAGAAACAGAGCGTCAAGGGGTTAACCCGCGTGTAGTATGGTAACGGCTGGTCAATGGGGCACGCGTACTAGGTGCTCGATGCAGTAGACCATGTAGAAGGTGAAGTTCGCTCCGAGGCAAAGTAGAACAGCTTGGCGAGACACGCGCTTGCGCTTCGGTCCCGAGAAGGAGCGTAAGTAGAGGAGTGTAGCTCGCACGAGCAGGCTCAGGTCGCGGGAATGGCGCACCACGACCACCTGCAGCAAGAGGATGGCAGGTTGGACTTGGAAGAGGGGTACAGGGCAACGACGTCTCCCGCACTCCTCACCTGGATCAACACGAATGAGATGGCCCTCGAACAGGTGTCGCACGCAAAGAGCCGGAAGATGAACGAAATGTTGCCCGATATCCCAGTATTGTTCGATAAGTCGATCTCGGGCTACGAGATTCCAATATTTTAGATCAATCGGTTGCAAGTTTTTTTTAATGGTTACAGATATCACCAGGAGCGAATTAATACTATGACGTTTCGGCATTTAACACTAATAGGTTTCAAGTTCTTTTTTCACTAGGCGCGGTGCGGAATAAGGAAAATAGGGAGGGGGGGGGGGGGGGGGGGGTGTGGTGTGGTTCGCGTGCGCTACTGTATCTCTAGTGGGCTGACTGTAAGAAAGGTCGTTGTTTCGTCCAGAAAGTACGTCCATTCCTCTCAGATCCATTTGGCAAATGACGGTAGCTCGGCGCCTGCGATACTCGCCGTAGGCCACCCTGCAGTGCCCGCATGTACTGCGAGGGACACGTTGCCTGCGTATCAGGCGCTATGAGAGCTGGCATGGGCGAAACTGGATGAACCTTGGCGATTTTGTCGTTGCGGATGACGGACGTACTTTCCGGATGATGCCTGTGTCGACAACGCCCCCCTCCCCCTTGACGGCTTGACACCTTAATGCTCCTCTCCATTTGAAAAGCCCATATCTGATTAACCCACCTGAATAACAGCCAGAAGCGTAAACGCTCTGGCAGTGTTGAGTGCTACTAGCGACACTAACGCGTAGCACGTCCATGCGCGCGACCAGCGCGGCGGCCAGCCGCTGCAGCCGAGGAGGCCGTTGAGCTGCAGCACCACCGTCAGGAAGTGCCAGTGCGCCACCAGGGCGCGCCGGGAGAGGGCGACCGACCACGACGCCGCCGCCTCCCCCGGGCGCTGCCACGAGTGCGCCATGGCGGGCCGAATGCTGCTCACGACTGGTAAGGGTTTTAACACGCGCGGCCCACTGGCCAAGGCTAAGCAAAGACGTCGGTCGATTTGGAACGCCACTTAAATGACGTCGGTCGCGATCGAATACGGAGGTTACGGCTCAGCTGGGAACGGAGAATGTCTCCGCGTAATGCAAACGAGAAAATCTCAGTATGAGGCTATTACTTCCGGCGATACTGTACCAGACGCATACCCAGTGACGATAGCGATAGGCAAGTGGCAACCTCCTGGTACATGCGGCCCGCTCTGGTCGCCGCTCACTCGTCGGCTGCCTCTCTCCACGGCGCGTCTCTGGTCGGCGACACGGCCCAGCTGGGCAGTCGCCGACCCCCGCCGGAGCATTGCCGAAAGGCACCTGAACGGCACCTGGATGACTGCTTTCTCCTCCTCCCGCAGGTACAG